TGTCACAAAACTGCACTGTGACAATGCCAAAGAATATGTCAGTGGAGAATTGTATGAAGTTGCTAAAAGAGCAGGTGTAAAAATAGATCCTGCACCTCCCTATACACCTTTTCTGAATGGTGTTGCTGAAACAGCAAATAGAACTGTACTGGAAAAAGCTACAGCAATGATATTTAAGGCCCATTTACCAAAATTCCTTTGGGGTGAAGCAGTACTTACGGCTGCTTATATAAATAATCGACTCTCAAATAGTTCAATTGACAATCGTGTTACTTATTTTCTGAAGTATGGTGAAAATCCTGATTTGACAAGACACATCATTGTTTCCAGAAATGTTCAATTTAACGAAGAAAAGAAGAAAGTACAAAATCAAAAATACATTCCCAATAGTTCTGATTTGAGTGAAAATGACAATGATGACATTAAAAATGAAGACAAATCAATTTCAGACACTGAAAAGGGCGAATGAAATGCTTTAAATGAGAAGGAGGAACCAAGGAAATCTACAAGAGAAAAGAAACAACCAGTTAGGTATCCTAATCCTGAGACCTACCAGGAAATGTTTGCGCAACAAGACATTCTGTAATTAGAAGATATTGTAAATCTACCACAAGTAGAACAAGAACAATGGAAGAGGAAATGAAATCTATGGAAGGAAACGACATCTGGGATCTACAAAGTTTACCCCCTGATAAAAGAGCCATTTCCTTCCAAATGGGTTCTACATAAAAACCGAGATGGAACTTACAAAGCCAAGCTTGTTGCTCCTTGCTTCATGCAAAAAGAAGGCATAGACTATACAGACATGTTTTCTCCAGTAATTAGTATGTGCTCTTTACGTTTAATCCTGGTAATTATCAATAATGAAGGTTTGCAAACTTTTACTTTAGATGTCAAGACGGATTTCTTGAACAGTAAGTTAGATGAAATCATCTACATGGACCAGCAAAAAGGATGTGATGATACAAGAGGTAAGAAATGTAAACTTAACAAGAGTTTACATGGTCTTAAACAGTCTCCTCGACAATGATATCAGAAATTTCTTAATTTTGTTATTAAATTAGATTTTAAACAATTGGACTCTGAACCATGTATTTTTATCAGAAATCTAATTAAAATTAAATTAATAAAGTAATTATGGCTCTTTATGTAGATGACTTATTAATTGCAGGTTCGATTGTAAAAGAAGCAAATATTATAATATCATTGTTGTCTAGTGAATTTCAAATGTCAAAATCTGAAAGGGTCTCAGAAATTTTAGGCATTAGACTGAAATTTGAGTCTGCTTGTTTATATTTAGATCAGAAACCATATATTGAAAAATTACTTGATAAATTTAAAATGTCTGATTGTAAAACAGCCCAAACTCGAACCAAAAGCTTCAGCAGTTGATTTTCAGAAAGGAAATGCATTTCATGGTCCATACATAGAATTAATTTAATCTGTACTTTACTTAGCATATATTACAAGGTCAGATATTTTATTTTCAGTAAATTGCTTATGCCAACTGCAGGAGCATCCTACTGATGTTGCCTGGTGTGCTCTAAAGAGAATTCTTAGGTACTTGAGAAACACCTTCAATTTAAAATTGATATCCAAAAAAGGTGATTTGGAAAGGGCAAACTTATGTTTGTATGTAGATGCAGATTGGGGGGGGGGAGATACTCAAGATAGGAAATCAATTACTGGTTACTTTATAATGTTTTTAAACTGTTCTATTATGTGGTGCTGTAACAAGCAAAAGTGTATTGCACTTTCATCAACAGAAGCTGAAATAATTGCTTTATGCAAAAGTATTCAAGATGTTTTATGGATAAAAAATATAGTAAATGAAATTTCCAGTATTAAAAATGTTCATATTTTTGAGGATAACCAGTCATGTATCAAAAGTATTGTTAATGAAAACTTTTTAGGTAAACTGAAACAGGTAGTTATTTATGATTGTTGCTGGCTTTTGATATAACAACAAATAAAAATTAAAGAAAGCACAGAAAACTGTTAAGTTCAATTTTACATATTATCAGGAATAAATTGTATACCAAATTTTCAAATATGAAATATGTTCTCTTTAACCAAATTGCCATCAATCAGTAGAACTGCATCAAGACAAAACAAGCAGCCATATGTTAAAATCCACTGTTAATTTCCTCAGAAAAATGAAACAAGAAACATGTATCAAGAAAACCTTCACTCATATCCTTACTAAATCTCCTGATGTATCATCCATGGATTTTTTGCACTTTGGGATTTTTAAAAAGTGAATATTCCAGATGTCGACCTACAACTGTCTTTAATGTCTGGAAAGCTGTTCAAGAGGAATGGGAAAAAATACCTCTTCTACTACTAAAAAAAGTTTTGTCTTCAGGAAATTACGGTGTAGAAAATAAAAAATAAAGAAATAAATACCCTAGTAAAAAATTAGGATTATCAAATGGAACATTTAAAACACAAAAGTTTTAGATAAAATATTTCTGTAAATACAATGAAAATTGTCTAAAAAAATTTGCGAACGGCCTTATATTGTTATGGTGAAAAATTTCAGGTATCACATTTCATTGGAAATATCCATTAGGACGATTTTTTGTGTAATTTTTACACATACAGACAGAATAAAAGATTCTTTTTTTTTTTTTTTTTTTTTCAAAGTAGGTTGTAAAATGGATTTAAAAGGTACTTTTTATTGACATATGTACATACGTATGTGCATATATATGTAGCTATCTAGCATAACTCAATAATGTTTCGCCACAGAACTGCATTAATAATTTTGCATATAAGACAACTATATCTAGTTGTGCACCTTTTTTTTTAAATCGCAATCGGCAGTACCAAACGCATAGTGTTTAAAATGATGAAAATATTCATGTTTTGGTAATCTCAAATAAATAACAAAATTTAACTGTATATATAATAACAGTGTATTGGTGCAGCAAAATATGCACACAAATAAATAGTTAGGACAAGAAAGTCATGGTGTCCACACAAGATATTTTTAATAAGCATATAATACTCAACATTCATCAGTAATTAGTTATTTCAACATAAAAAGGGACAGACAAATTCACTTCATTATAGACTTATTACTTCCTGTTTGCAGTACTCTTCATTTGAGCTAATTCTTTTTGTCATTCATAAACTCCCATTTTTGGCTTAATTAAATCATATTTTTCATATCCCCTCTCTCTCTTTTTACTTTCTACAGATTTTTAGAGTTGAAACTAAGAGAAAACGTGTGAGATCTATTGAATCTTTCTTAATTAGTTGCACACAATAAAATACATAAATGAAACCTAAATAAGAGGAAATAAATACCATATTTACTCACATATTTCCCCCCTTTTACTTCTAAAAAGCCAGCAGAGGAAAAATATACAGTGTATACTAGTTCTAAAGAGACTTTAATGATAAGCACACTAAAAAGTACACATAAAAATAATTATAATATTAATATATTATGTATTTCAAAGGACTTGCTAATATCAGTAACAATTTTTTCACTTACAGAAAATTATTTCCTATTTGTGCATACATTTTACATTGTTACTATAAATCAAAAGTTACTAAAATAAACATCTAGAGTAAAAAATACATGAGGTGGAGAAATATGGGAATAAAAGCAACAAACAGTGACATAAGTAAAATATTGGGTTTTAATGAAGGTTTCCTGCCGCTGCAAATATCGTCTGTGCAAACAGCAAGCACTGCAGTGTTTTATCATATTTTGTCGAATGACTTTTGGCATTTGAAAGAGACTTGCTTCACACTGTGTTGTGAAATTTGGGAAGAAAAAAAAAAAAAAAAATCGTTATCATTAAGTGCAAAGTGTCTGAAATGGAATTATCAGACTATCAGATTAGAACCATTATTTACTTCATTTTTTGTTGCAAAAAGTCAAGCTACAGAATAAATACTAAAGTTGTATCATATGACAGTGTGAACGTTAGGTACCAAAAGTTCAAAAACAAGGACTATCATATTCAAGCAGCACAGTGCTCCGGCCAACCTACTGATATTAATGAGGTCTGCCTGTGAGAACTTGTGGAAGATCAGTAAACAACCACTTGAGAGCTCAAAGGAGTTAGACATTACCGCCATGTCCATTAGTCACGCTATGCATAGCATAAACTTAATGTATAAGTTCAATCGCTGGGTGCCACATGAGCTGACTCAAGCACTAAAGGACAGACATGTTTAGGCCTGAACTAATCTACTGGAATGTCAACGCAATGACAAAATTCTAGACTGGATTGTCTCTTGTGATGAAAAATGAATTTACTTCAATAACACCAGCGAAAAAGGAGGTTGTTGTGTGGCGAGTGAGCCCATCATCAGCATCACAAAGTGCAATAAGACTAACAAAACGATCATGCTTTGCATCTGTTGGGATTGCGGTGGTATTATCCACAAAGAGTATCTGGAAAAAGGGTAAAAATCTTGACAGTAAGGTGTACAGAGAGATTCTATTCTGTGTTGACACTGCTATCAAGAGAAAAATGTCAAACTGAGTTCCGGAGCAAAATAACAGTTCCATCAAGATAACACAAGACCACATGTGTCTGCATCCACTGGCTGGACTCTGTACAGACTTGAATGGGATCTTTTGCCATATTCTACATATACCCTACATCTCTCCTTCAGACTTCCACCTTTTTCCCCGCCTGCAGTTACATCTTGCTGGTGCTATCTTCCATTCTGCACAGGGCATCTGAAATGAGGTTGATCTGTTTTGGGGCTCGCAGCCACCAAGATCCTGGGCTCAAGGCTTTAAAAAAATACCAAAATGTTGGCAGAAAATCATAATTTGGGAGGTGATTACTACCTACACTAAAGGTACTGCTTTCATGTTTTTCTTCCTAACTTTTTTAAGAACGCTTTTTGGTAGATAACTTTTGTTATAACCAGATATATTTCCTTAATATGAAATGCAATACTCACAAAGATAAAATGAACTGAAATAAAATAAAAAATGTTTTAATTTATATTAGCTTAATTTTACTTACATCTTCTTTAGAACCAGAATGATGCCTTGTATAGTGAGACTGAAGTTCAATTTCACTGCCTAATTTCATCTTACATGCAGGACAATTAAACATATTTCTTCCATCACCAACATCATTAATTCCTTCAGAATGACTGCTTTCATAATGGTTCTGAAGAGCATCAGCAGTAGGAAATGCAAGAAAACAATGTGGGCATAGAAAACCCTAAAATCAGTAAATACATAAGAATTAAAAAAAAAAAAAATATGAAATTATTGGCAATAGGGAATGCAAGAAAATAAAGTAAGCATATAAAACCCTAAAATTAGTAAATACATTGGGGAAAAAAAAAAAAAACCAGGTAATACAGATTAGATATTTCCAAAACAATTCATATCAGCCTCTGAGAAACTGATGAGCCATTTTCAATAGTAAAAATTCCCCCTATAGTCAAATAAGACTACAATGGAAATTTTTAATATAGGAAAACCAAACATAGTTGCCTGAAGTCTGTAATCATTGCCAAGCATAATGTCAACATAAAGGGTTACCATACTCTTTAATAAAAATTTAAAAAAAAAAAATGTTTAGATATCACTATGCAAGTCATTTTTCAAGCTGCAATGTGTTGATAGTCATACTAAATAATGATTTGCTAGGTTGGTGTTGGTGCCGAAGTGAAATTAAGAAGAATCACAATTCCCCATATGTTTTATTATGAAAACCTATCAAACGTGCATGCATAAAGCATAAAAAAATCGGTTTGTGATTTGGAAGTCCAGCTTTTAGATTATTCCAGATATTGGATATCCAGTTTTTGTACTCTTTACTATATTATCTTTCTTGCACAAGATCACTTGTATGAGAATACAGTACAAAGTACGTAATCCGGACTCGTCGGGACTTTGGCGATTACGGATTAGGGGTTTTTCCGGATTATAGATTATCAATTTAAATCTGGTAAGATGGCATGCAGAAATTATACAATTAAAATTATGAAACCATAATTTATGAAATAAAGAGCAATTATGATCTAAAGGGTATCAAGGGTATCAAAGTTTACAGGAAAAAAAAAAAAAAGCTTAATATTTATTGTTTACTTTATTAAACATTTCTTTCAATGTAAGTAAGTTGTTCAAGTTGCTTTATTTTTTGTGCTAATACTTTATCTTTAATTCTATAAACAGATAATTTTTTGTTCAGTTACAAAGTTCCATTGTTCAAGTCCTGTAATAGCTATGTCAAGCATTCCAACTAACTTGTCAATCAATTTTTTTTTTTATTTTCAATAACCTCTCTGTCACTTTCTTCACTATCAGAAGTGGTATTTTCTGGATCTAGAAGCATACTACAGATTTCGCCATCCGTTAATCGATTGGGGCATTGTCGTCGCAATGAAAAGCTTCTGTTATATCATCTTCATTTACTACTGCTTCTCCCCATTTCTTTACAAAATCCAATAACTGGAAAATTTTACCTTTAGTTTGCGATGTCCGAAAACCTTCAAATTCGTGGCTATCATCTTCATCGTCCTCACCATAAAATATGGTAGCTGGCCATAAATTATGCCAAGAATTTTTTAATGTATCTGGAGACATATCCTCACACAATCTTGCGATGCTCCACACAGCAGATTTTATGCTAAAAAATTTCAAAAATGTTTCGAATAGCCTTCCCATTGTTCAAGAAATTTAACACAGATTTTTAAAATGCTAATTTATATTTGAATTTCAGCGCATACACTATTCTCATATTCATAGGCTGAATGATAGACGTACAATTTGGAAGGAAGAATAATACGGATACATCATCTTTCACTAAAACATTAAGTGAAGTATGTGCCCAACAGTTGTCAACAATCAGGACTATTTTTGAGTCATCAAGTAAACCAACCGAATTCAAATGTCACCGAGCCTCGGGTATAAAATGATTTTCAAACCAATCATTCATCAACGCTTGTGTCATCCATGTTCTTTTATTTGCACGATATATAACAGGGAAAATTGTTACTCTTTTAAATGTTCGAGGTCATGCATATTTCCTGATTAGGAAAAGTTTGCACTTGTGCCTTCCTGCAGCATTTGCACACGCTAAAATTGTTAGTCTTGCTTTGGAATCTTTGACACCAGTTGGAGCCTTTTCTGTAGAGGTTGCCATGGTATTTCGCAGTACATATTGCCAGAAAAGACCAGTTTCATCAGCATTGTAAATTTGTTCTAGAAATAATTGTTCACTAGTAAAGAGGTCAATGAATTCATCTGCAAATTGTTCAGCAGCTTCAGTATCAACTGAAGTTTTTTCACCTGAAATTTTTGTCTTATACCATGGCAATTTTTAAATTTGGTTACCCAACCTGTCGAATATGTGCACTCAGTGTTTAAGTTCATTTCTTCATGAAATATTTTGGCCTGAGACATTAGCATTGGACCCATCAATGGCACGCCCTCGCTGCAAAACTGTCTGAAAAAACAGCGCGATCTGCAACATAAACAAAAATGCCTTAGAATCAGTAAAGATAATTTTAGCATAGCTTATACCGTCCATTATACATTAAGCACATACAAAAAAAAAAAAAGTTTGTGGCTTTGAGGTCCTGATTATAGATCATTTCAGATAATGGACGCCAGGATTACGGACTTTGTACTGTAATTAATTTTTTGAAATTTCCATATATACCCCACAGTTCAATTTATATAATATTTAGTTTTCTATTATGAAAAAACAATTACACTCAATTAAATTACTCATATAATAAAAATGAAAAGTCAAGAGATTATCAAGAATTTCAGCAATTATTCATATCAGCAATTTACTAAAAATAAATGAATTTATCTCCATATAGACACTTTCAGAATTGCAATACGAAATAGAGATTTAAAACTGAATCAAGTAAACATAGCTTTCTTATTTTCTGCTATTAGGTCCCTTTAGGAGCAAACAAAATTCTGAATTTTTTCCTCCTAGTTCCTGAGGAGACATTTACATCAAACAGCATTCAACATTGGTCAAGCTTTATCTTAAAAACTATGCTAAATTGCCTTTTTGTCCTAATTTTTGCAAAAATTTATATTTTCATGTTTTTATCCACTTAGCTTATTTCAAAATTCCGTTAAACACATTCTTGGTTACTCCAATTTCAAAATTCTTGAGATAAAAATAATTTTAACATTTTAAAATGAAAATCATTGATTTCAAGAATTATATTTTTTGTAATTACTTCTGCAGAGCTTGCACTATTTTCAATTTCTTCTTCCGGTGTTTTGGGCTGCACAGGATCAGAGCTCTAAAAAATAAAATAAATAATATTAACAAAATAAAAAATCGTTAAAAAGCAATTTCATTTGTCACAGTATAATATGACACAACATAAGCATGTAACAACTAAAGACTATGAAGATATTTATAGAATGATAAAAATAATCTGAAATGTTATAGTTAAGAACCTAATGTAGTTGATTCATCAACTGATTTATCATTCTAGTGCAGTGCTCCGCAACCTTTTCTCACCTGCGATGCACAAAAAATCTTTCTGGAATTTCGTGGCACACCAAAGAGTTCCGAGTTATCAAGGAAGTGCCGAAAAAATTCAAATGCTGACACACTACAATCACACACACAACAGTGAAATATATAAAAACATTTAAAATAGACATTATTAAGGAAAAAAAATGTCATTGTGTATTAAATACATGATAAAAAAATTGCAAAATGTCAAAATACATGTATTTGATTGCGGCACACCTATATCCTACTCATGGCACACCAGTTGCAGAGCACTGTTCTAGTGAATACATAACTAGATAATGGTATATGTATGACTGACTATAGTCTAGTGGGTACTAGTCAGTCACCATAGTGGATACATAAAGTTATGTAACCCACTAGAATGACTGACAACTTTGACAGAAATAAACATTTTAACATAAATTCTATTAATACTTTTTAACCATAAAAATAAATATAACCCCATGATATAGATAGTTTATAACTTTATAACTCTTAAATGATCGATTTGTGGTTGGATAAAATTATTAAAGTAAAGCACATTAGAGCTAATCTGGCTATATGAAAGATAGCCAATTTCCTGCAGCCAATATTTACCACTTATCCCCCCCCCAATAGGAGATGTAATATAAACAATTATACATATTTTTTCAACATGAGCAGAATTTCATGCAGCTCAGCTTAAGTGAAAGTGATGTAGTAGAAACATTAGGGGTACTATTCGATTTCGAGGGCCATAAAAAATCGCCAAACTATTGTTGATGCAAATGCTGCCAAAAATAATTGTGGCAACCCTAATAATAGTGGCAAGAAAGGAAGTATAATAGTAAATATTTAAGATTGATGTTTTAATTTAGATGAAAGGTTAATTTGATATAATACTTTTTTATTATTATAATTGATATAAAAAAGACTAAACATGACTGAATGGGAGTGAATAATATTTCAGATCATTATTATAATTTATATAAAAATTCTAAACATAACTGAATGGATGCCTGCATCACTATTTCGCCTACCGATTTATCGCTAAAGCAAGTTTTCATCTCGTTGGTTGTTCAAACATAATTTTCTATAATGAATGATGCCTTTTCTTGAAAATATTCTCGGTAAAGTGCAGAATCGCTCACGTATTTTTTTTGCCCGCTTTTTTACATGAGTAAAAACAATTGGATTTTTGTCAATTTTCTTTTACTTTTTAGTGAAAATAAGTCGATGTGTACATAGATAAGTCAGGGTGTGCGCAGTGCCATTTTTGTGCAATTCTAGGATGTTTTTTTTAAGTGAAAATAGGTCGATGTGCACATGGATACCGAGTATGTGCAATTCTTAAAAACGCGTCAAGCAGTGAGTGATTCTGCACTTTACCCAAAATTCTATTGCCGACTTTTATTGTTAAATCCATAAGATATCAAAAAAGGATTTAAATCAAAAAAGGATTTAAAAATTAAACTAGTATTTCAATGGCATCTTAAGAAATATAGAACTATATAAACTTACGCAATCTGAAATCAGCGCGTACGCTAGATTTGGCACGCTCTTAAATGGGCGCGTTTGCTAGATTTGGTGCTTTTGCGCATTTTCGCTGCAAATTTTTTATGGCCCTCGAAACCGAATAGTACCACATTAGGATTGAGAGACACGAAAAATTAGCAATGTCCTCGCTGGAACATCAGACATCTGAATACGCACCAAGTGTGCTGCCCATTACACCACGAAGGCACGCTAAGAAGGTGGGGGAGAAATACCTTATAATGTGTTTAGCTACTATTAACATTATTAAATGCCTGTATTTGAAAAAATAAGTTAAAACAAACTATTCATTCATTAATTTGCTCAATTAAAAAAAAATCAACTTCATGCGGAAGCTATACAGAAAGCATGTATTCTTGTTTATAGGATTTTAAAAACCGGATAATCATTTAAAATTATCATAATGTTTTCAAAATTACAAAATTTCAAAGAGTATGTAGGAATGACTTGTAGTAACATCAAATAATTTTAAAACTGGCTGATTAATTAATTGGTTAAGGTAAAACAAGTCAAAAGTTATTTGAATGAAGCAAAGAATACCTCCATAAAGGAAAGAAGCTGCCTCTTATTTTCATTACAGATCAGGAAACCATGAAAACGTTCATAAGGCAGCCTATTTTCCCAGATTTAAACCTGGACTGAACAACCAGTGGTTAGTCTTATCCCTTCAGCCACTGGTAAAACTCAAAATATTGTTAATTATATATATTACACCAATCTATTTAACAGAACTGTTTTCATTAAGTCATTTATGGCACACTATTATTATTATATTTTATTGCATTATTTAGTATTTAGTACTGTACATTTTTAAATTGTCAATATTTAGAATTTTTTTCTAACGATTTTTAAAAAGCATTAATTTAGAAACTTATGTTCTTTAATCCAAAATTTATAAGGGGTAAAAACATTTTAAGCATAATTTAATGGCACATTAATAGCTTCATTTTGCATTTATTAAAACATTAAGAGTTGGCTTATAGTCTTTTATATGAAATCTAAGTATGCTTATATTATGAAGTAAGCCGTCATATAGTAGTAGTAAATGCATGAAGTAAATGCTTCATTTACTTTACCTTCCTACCTCAAAAAAGATTTAATATATTATATAAACTGTGCATGGCTCTAGTGTAGAATTAGGTGCCCATTCGATTAGCGACAAATTTTGTTCAATTTTGGGGATGAAATTCCATTTTTGATTACCATGATAGTTTTAACCTTGTTTTTTTTTTTTTTTTTTTTTAGTGAAAATAGATCGATGTGTACGTGGACAAAGTTAAGGCACTGCACAATGCCTAGCCTAGTTTGTGCAGTTCTCTAATGTTTTACAAGTGAAAATAGATCGATGTGTACATGAACATTGAGTTTGTACAATTCTTATTTTGGTTTTGTGTAGTGGCCATCTTGAAACTATGCTTTCCTGTCATCGATTTTGGCGTCAAAAAAGAATCCGGCGGGGGAGGGAAACCAATTGTAAATTTTTCCCCTGTACATTTTATCACATATAATTTTTTGCATGCATTTTTACACTCTGATAAAATGCAGCTCAAAGCCGAAAGGGAGATGTGATGTCTTGTAACATTAATGCAAATGATTTTATCACATCAATATAAAGTATAACATATACTTAAAACATTATGCCCTAAACAATTATGCTTAGTAACTTTTAATTCCATGAACATGAAGAAAATCATATTTTTTGGTAAACAATAAAAACTATATAACTATGATCAAAGAAATTAAAGTGCAACATATAAAACTACATCAAAATTATAGCATTAATTATAGTGATATAAATTGATTAAATAATATTTTTTCATATTGAAAGGAAATAAAAAATGATTCTGACAGCAGAAATAAACAGTAAATAAAACATATTATTTACCTTTCAAATATATCGTAACATGAATGTCACTGTATAGTGTGATTCATGTAAAAATACTAAATATTGTATGGCATTAAATAATTTTTTAGAGAAACAAAAATTTATTATAGTTTGGTATGCAAACAGCAAAGTAAACAAATTTACAGATAATTTATATATAGAGAGAGAACAGTAGTTTTATACATTTTTGCGAACTAAGATAATTTTTTTTAAGTCATAGTACGATTTCATTTAATACAAATTTGTTTATAATTGTAAGAATTTTTTAAATATTTTTTACTACGTTATACGTTGGTCGGGCATTTATTTTTGTCCTTTATATACATATATAACAATTGTAATGAGAACTACTTTTAATATTAGTAACTCCGTATTTTCTGGAGAAACAAACTTGAAAAATAAAATTTTCTTTTGTGAAAAACACTTTCTTTGACTGCATCAATAAAGATTACTGGATTCGAGAAAATAAATATGATTAATTGTGTGTGTAAAAAATTTTTACTTGACTAAAAGTAACAAACAAAAGTTTAAGTCAGCTATCCTTATGTTTAGTTCTAATTAATTTTTCCTTAAAAAAAGATTCAAGCTCGGCGATTTTCAACATACTCTAGACTGTTCATTTCTTCGAGTTAAAATACCACGGATATCACGGATATTAAACATTCTTTTTAATTATTTCTTCGCTTTACAATAGTAAATAACGACACTCCTCAATTTCCATCACATTATTTGGACGGCGGCAATACTCTTTTTTCGCATACACCGTCTGGTAAAGTAGAAGTTGCATTTAAATTTCATAATCTGAAAATGGATTATTTTAAAGATAATTTTATTAGTAAATATTTTTCATATTAATAGATTTATAGGATTATTATAAATGATTCATAATATATTATATGTATTTATTTTTTCTCCACATATATATAAATATTCTATTGTTTAATTTATTTAATATTTAACTAAAAATTAAGATAGAGGCCATACATCTTAACTCATCGAATGGGAATGAACCGGTTGTTTCACTGCAAGATGTGCTTACAAAAACAAAATAGTGTAACGATATGTCTTCTTGCAAATATAATTTTGTCAGTTTCAATTGTTCTTGTGAATAAACTTGTTTATGTTCGAACGAAATTTCCAAATGTTACTCTAACATTTGTTCATTTTTTAGTTACATCTATAGGCATAAAATTATGCGAAAGTTTAAAAATTTTTCAAGTGAAACGTTTGCCAATACTTCAGATTTTACCTCTCGCCTTATCGTTCTGTGGCTTTGTTGTTTTTACAAATTTATCTCTCGGGTTAAATACTGTTGGAACCTATCAGATATTGAAAACATTAACAATGCCTACTATCATGGTCATTCAACAATTTCTATACCATCGAACATTTTCCTGGAAAATCAAATTTACATTGGTATTTCAGTCTTTTTTCCCTCCTTCTTTTTTCTGTTTTTAAGATTAATGAAGACTGGAAGTTCCGAAGTTTCCTAGTTCTGCAGGCAATTTTCATGACATTTACTTTATTAATAATAACATTTCAAGTTAATTTTTATTCCTGTTCACTATCATGATTCTTGCACTAAATGTAAATATTTTTACCCGATATCTTATTTTCAGTAACTGCATTATTTGGCTATAATGAATTTTAATTTTGATTATATATATATATTACTGTTACAATTCTGATTTAGTAGTGTCCACATAAATAATGCCATTGAGTGCAGTTTTGGTTGATACTTTCTGATTATCTCCATCCCCACAAAAAAAATCTTGAACTTGTTCATGAATTGACAAAAAATGTTTGCTTGACTATTCATATGACTCATAAGTCTATCATTTCTTCTATCATTGAGACTCTTGTTGGAGAATGTCAGTGTAGTTTCACGAAAGGAAGATCCACTGTTGATCAAATCTTTACTTTGAGACAAATGTTGGAGAAATGTAAATGGTATGAAATTGGAATCAATCATTTATTTGTCAACTTCAAGGCAGCCTATGATAGCATTCATAAAGCTCAACTACCAGAAGCCCTGTCTGAGTTCAAAGTTTCTAAGTTAATTAAGCTTATGAGGCTCACTCTAACCGAAATCATGTCTGCAGTACGAGTTCAAGAAGAAACATCTACCTTCTTAAAGGTCTACAATGGACTCAGAGAATGGCATTCCTCCTTTTTAATTTAACTCTGAAGAAAGTTATAAGAGATGGTGCTATTAATAGAAGATGTACATTATTTAATAAATCAGTTCATATTTTGGCTTATGCTGATGATGTAGATGTAATTGCAAGATCTATAGCTTTGCTGTGAGAGACCTTTTAGGCAGTACAGAATGCAGCCAGGAAAATAAACCTCAGATTAAATGTGGAAAAAACTAAATTTATGGGCTGTGGTAAAGAAAAAAATCCACCTAATATATTTGAGATTGGCCCATTCAAATTCAAATCTGTGAAAAATTGCAGCTATTTAAGCTCTGAAATTAACTATCAAAATTATATTAATCCTGGAATCTGAAAAAGGATTATTGCTGCAAATCGTTTCTTCTTTGATTTAAGATCTCATCTGAATACCATCTAATAAACAGAAGGACACAAATTCTATTATAATATTAATAAAATCAGTGGCATAGTTAGGGTGGGGAAGGAGGGACAGCTGTCCTTAGGCACAGCAACCAGGAGGTGCCGAATTGATGTTATGAAATTTTAGAATTTAATGTTTTACATTCTTGGTACACAGAAAGGGGCGCAAAATCTTCAGCTGTCTCTGGGCGCTGAAAACCGTAGCTACGCTTCTGGTCTTAACCTATGTTTCAGGGACATTGACTCTGAGGGAAGAAAGAGCCTTGGTGATCTTTGAAATGAAGATTCTAATTAAAAATTTTGGTGCTGTTTTGGAGAATATGGTATAACTCTTCAAAATTTATAAAAATGATAATAATATTAAATCCATAATAAGTAGAATGAGATGGCCAAGTCACCTCCTGAGAATGAATGCGGGGAACGAATCTTACGATCTTTAATGTGACTTCTGTTTGTGGAAGATCAAGAAAACCTAAGAAAAGATGGAAAAACTGCCTAGATGAGGATTTTGCCATTCTAAAAAGTAAGAATTGGAGGTCACTTGCTGGAAGGAGGGTGAAATGGGAAAGGCTTCTGAAGATGACCAGGCACACAAGGTGTTATCATATCATTGCTGTTGCTGCTGATGATGCTATTTTTCAGTAAAATGATGGTTAAATGTAAAGTGAGTAAATCCATGTATATTCAGACAGAATACTCCTATACATGGGTTGGCTCTTGTCACACTTATGCTGAAAATACAACAAAAACCGTAGTTTTAGCGAATGGTTAAAATTGGGATGTGTGGGTAATCAGAAAGTATTTTTTTCTTGTTCATGTATTATAAGTTTATTAAAAACAATGAACTCTGAATTATTTTTGCATAATGAACAGACTCTGCCTTTGCTGGAAATTTCCTGTTCTTTGCTGGAAAAGTTTTAATTTTTCCTGAAGAACCATAAATGAAAAGTGTGTATTAATAATATAAATGAAATTTTTCAGTGCCACAAATGCCTAAATTTTGAGTAATTTTCCTTTTAAAATTAAAGGGAATTTTATGAAGTTTTATGATTAAATTTGAATAAAAGAAAGTAATCAATAGAAAGATCCATATTTCTTTTGACAGCAAAAGATTTAACAGTTAAATTAAGTACTGGCAAAATGCTTATACTATAAAAAGTTTTGGTACTATTCGGTTTTGAGGGCCGTAAAAAAACGTCAAACTATTGTTGATGCCAGTGCTGCCAAAAATAATTGTGGCCACCCTAATGCAAGAAAGGAAGTATAATACTAGTAAATAACTATCTAAGATTGATGTTTTAATTTAGATGAAAGGTTAATTTCATATAATACTTTTTTATTGTTATAAATTATATAAAAAAAGGCTAAGCATGACTGAATGAAGGATAAGAGTAAATAACTATTTAAGATCATTATTATAATTTATATAAAAATTGCTTAACATAACTGAATGGTTGCCTGCATCGCTATTTCTCTACTGAGTTATCACAAAAGCATAATTTCATCTCGTTGGTTGTTCAAACATAATTTTCTATAATGAATGATGCTTTTTCTTTGGAAAAATTCTTGGTAAAGTGCAGAATTGCCCACTTATTTTTTGCCGCTTTTTGAAGGTAAAAAACAATTGGATTTGTTTTTTCTTTCACTCTTAAGTGAAAATAGGTCGATGGGTGTACATAATAAAGTCAGGGGCCAGTTTGTGGCAATTCTGTGATTTTTTTATAAAGCAAAGAGGCCGATGTATGCATGATACCGAGTATGTGCGTTCTTTAAAAACGCATCAGGAGGGTGAATCTGCCATTCCCAACATTCATCGCAGACTTTCGTCATGGGCAATTCCCAAATTGTTAAATCCATAGGATATCAAAAAAGGATTTAAAAATTAAGCTAGTATTTCAATGGTGTCTTAAGAAATATAAGACTATATAAACTTCTGTTTATGTAGTTCAATTATTATGCAATTTGAAATTGGTGCATACGCTAGATTTGGCGCTTTTGCACATACATTTTTGCTGCAGATTATTCTAAATTAATTAACCAAACCTTCTAAGCAAGTTGAAAATGACAAAAAAAAAATTGGGGGAGAAGGAGAATTTTGAAATTGAATATTCCATTCAATTTTTATGATAGAGTCAAACTTCTTATAATTTTTTTTCATAACGAGTATAAAACTTTTCCTGTCTAGATGTCATGGTACTATTCTGTTATCAGGGCCATGTTCAGAAATGTATGCATTTATATCACGTAAGTACGAACGTATGTGTGTGTATACATATATGCATATACATACAAACACATGATCATACATTCATATATTTTTGAATCTGGTACTGATGTCACAACTAGATATTATAGCAATTCCACACACAAAATTTCAATGTTCTGTGGCTAATTGTTTTTGTGTTATGCAATATACATATGTACGTATGTATAGACATTATGAAAAAAATCTCATTATTGATTGTATATTTAATAAATTATGTATCTTCAACATGAAGGTGTTTTGTTTAGCATGGAACAGAAATTAAGAATCGGGACCTTTCATATACTTCATTATAAAAGATATCTACTGTGTAGCATTAAGCATATACAGCACAAAGTCCGAGATCTGGACATCCAATATCTGGAATGACTTAAAATCCAGACCTCAAAGTCACCAACTTTTTAAAAATTTATTTATTTTTTTATGTGTGTGCTTTACGCATGCACATTTGATTTCCCCCATGCATGTGGAGAGTCCCGATTCTTAATTTCACTTTGGCACTAAATAAAAAACAATGATTTTAGCATAAATTCGTATCATCAGTAATTTGGCTCTGTAGCTGCATATCTGCTGCACATCTCAAACTTGATACATTCTACATAGAACATTGTTGATTTTACACCTACTAATATTTTATATCCCTGACACCCAACCTGGCGAATCATCATTTATTATATTATGCTTTCATCACCGCATGTGTATCAACACATGAAAACTCATTTAGCGATGCCTAAACAAATTTTTCTATTAGTAATTGTATAAAAAAAGATTATTACAACCTTTTATGTTGACATTACGCTTGGCAGTGATTAAATTTTTAAGTTTAATGCGCTAAAAGAAATGTTGACAGAAAAAATGTAACAATTTCTTTCCGTATGCTAAAAATAAATTTTGTTAATGATACTCATAG